ATTTATTTGCCCAACTCGCTAAATGATCTAAATCCTTTTGTAAATGAGCAGCAGCATCTTCACAGCTAGCAACACCCAAGACCTTAATATCATCTGCATATTTAAGTATTTTATTGATCATTTTTTCATTTATGTCATTGATGTAAATCAAAAAGAGCAAAGGTCTTAAGACTGAGCCCTGAGGTATCCCACTTGTAACATTAATCCAGTTTGGCTGAACTCCATTTATAAAAAACACTGCTTTCTACCATCTAGCCATTCTTCTATTCAATTTGCTAACTTATCCCCCACACCTATAGAGATATTTGTTTTACAAGCCTTTTATGTGGCACCTTGTCAAATACTTCCTGAAAATCCAGATACACCAAATCTACACCCTTACCATCATCTATATAAGCAGTAACCTTTTCAAAGAATGTTAAAAGATTTGTAAGGCAAGATTTTCCCTTAGTGAAACCATGTTGACTATCCAATAAAATTCTAAACTTTGTTAAATGACTTTGCAAAGCATCTTTTAACAGACTTTCCAAAACTTTCCCACAACTGATGTAAGACTAATGTTTCTTTAATTAATGCAACCATTTTTATCACCTTTCTTGAAAAGAGGAATTACATTAGCTAACTTCCAATGTTCTGATACCTGCTCACTGTTCAAGGACTGAGAAAAAATAGTAGCAAGTGGTTCATGTATCCAATCTTTAACCTTCTTCAAAACCCTTAGGGAAATATTATCTAGCCCAGGAGCCTTATCATTCTTTAAACTTCTCAATTTTTTCTTAACCAGCTCAGAAGAAATGCAGTCTTCTTGTTTCCATCTATCAACTGTTCAAAATGTGGAATACTGCCTAAATCTTCATGAGTCAAAACTGAAAAAAAAAGCAAAATTTACTAACCCAGCCATCTCATAATCATTAAAAATGAGCCTTCCTTTATCATCCCTCAAGAATCCTATCCCCATTCTAACATTTTGTTTACCCTTAATGTATTTAAAGAAATTCTTACTGTTAATTTTTACATTTTCAACCAACCTTTTCTCATACATCCTTTTTGATGTCCTGTTTTACCAACTTTCTTGATCTTCTGTTATCTTCTAAATCTCCAGGTCATACCAGTCAATTTAAATGTCTTAGATTTATTTTCTTTAATTTTATCACTTATACTCTTTGTGAGCCAAAAACTTGATTATTGAACCTAGAATTACTGAGAGATGTTTGTATGGACTCAATTGGCTTTTAAACATTTTTCTAAACTATTCATACACCAAATGACATGTAGATCCACACCTTTCTTGTGTATATGAATTCCCATTTCCTTCTCGATATTCTTGAGGTGTGCAGCAGTTTAATGCATATGTTATGGAAGCAAGTTTTCCAGATGAAGATCCGTTTTGATCAAGTTGCATTCTGTTGCCTAAGGCATGTGGATGTTTTTTGCTACTGAACTTTGTGGGTTCTCATTTGTTACAATACACCGTATTTTGCTTACCAAGGCTATGGTACAACTTGTTGCAAAACTCTTTCTGAATGGTTCTGGTGTCAGAAGTTGATCTATGTTCTTTTTTGTTTCCAGTACCATTAAGAGATACCCCCTCCCCCTCATCTTGAAAATTCTAATTCTTTAATCTGAACATATCTTTAGGATCTGAATATATGAATATTTTGCTTCAGAAAGGACAGTTACATACCCTTCCCAAAAGTGATAAAATTGTGGTGGCATCACACTACTTAATAAACACCAAATAGTGTCAAAATATAGTTCTGATGCATTCAGTTCCACTGTGAGTTTATATTGCCTGTTGTTGTTATGTGACTTGCATATTTGAAATTGTTTTTATGCAACACATTCAACCCTCTGTTCACATACAAAAATCTATACATCTAATTATACATAAAATATATTATAAGTACAATATTTAATCTAATCAGCAATGATTTAACCTAAATGTAAGTCATTAATAGATAAACAGCAAATTAACTAAGAATCTGTAGTGTTGAATTTAGAAAAATTAAAAAAATTATTAGTAATGTTGAAGACCTAGATACCACATGTCTTATTAAATATGCCACATTAGCTAAATATTATTCTTAATATTAGTAAAGGCTTGTGTTTTACACTTCTGTGAACAAATATTATTGAGATCATATTATATAGAATAATTATAATGTAATATTAAAAACTGATGAATCACAAGCATTTACTTTAGACCTACATTTAGGACCAAACAGTTTAACTTTAGTTTAATATATAATGTTATATGGGTTGTTTAATACTCACAGTAGTCAATGTGTGGTGTGAAATATAAAAAAAAACATGCACGGCTTCCTCATAGGAGTTTGATGACATCATGGTTGTAGAATTAATGATGTTGAATATTCCTTTCTTTAGGTTAACAATACAAGTTTGTATAGTAGAGTGATAAAATAGATTACAAGATGTGATATTATTAAATACATCCACAAAAAGCCCACAGAGTTTCTTTCTAAGCTGTTTAAAATTAACATTAGGAAATAATTTATTAAAATCTATGAATGAAGCATTACCCTGAAACCATTTTCAGTGAAGAAACTCTCAATGATAAGTTTGTGAATTGTGTTATTACAGTATGTGTAAAAGTTATGTACTAGCTATATAATTGATGTACTGAAGGCTGTGGTGTTTTACATGTATGTAATCAGTAAAATGTATTACTATAGTTTTAATATAGCATTTTGGACCAAAGTACAAGTTAAAGGTGTAATGTTATAGGACAGCTACATGTAACATTACTCTTTCTTTTGGTAAAACTTTATTATATGTCTGGTGGGTTAAAAGTAAATCTGAAAAACAAATTAAAACTGAAATAATGCTTCGTGTACAAAGGTAACTGAAGAGAGGTAACTAATGGAACTTGTGTGACATGCTAATCATCATTGACTTTTTTCTAATGAGAAATTGGTAAATTAATTTTGAGTTTATTGGTTTATTACAGCAGTTTGACAGTTGTTCTTTTTGCAAAATAATCAGTGTCAAGACTGAAGCTTGCAGCATTTGAGACATGATAGTTTTGTTGATTAATGTTTTTAGAAAACTTTTAAAAATTGTATGTTCATACACAGTTATTCTAAGATTCTCAAAACAACTTTCAATTACCATATCAGTCTGGTGTCTTGTATTTTCTTATACAGTTGTTAACTGTTGTTCAATATGTAATACTTGGTATATTTTACGTGGTGTATATCTGTGTATAGCAAGTTTCAGGAATACAGTGAATGATTGTATAAAACTTCTGTATGAACATTGAGTCTACCAAATTAAAGTTGAAAACACATTTAGCCATTATTTTAGAGTTAAATTACATAGCTTGATGTGAAGAAAACAGAGATAAAAACTTGAAATAATAATCACTACGGATCATATATCTTTATGAATCAGATGAAAGTATTAGTTGGCTTGATTACTTTCCTCCTTATCACTAAAACTATTTTGCAAGTGTTTCTATATCTATGCATGAGTATAATAATCTTTTTATTTTTAGTGCATTGCATTTCGTGACATCAACCCTCAAGCTCCAAGTCATTTTTTAGTTGTTCCCAAAAAACCAATTTCAATGTTAGATAACATTCAAGAGGAAGACTCTAAGGTAGTTTTACTATTTCTTTCAAACACCTGAGATTTAAAATTGTATTTTATTTTGAAATAATAAAATGGATAGATTTAAGTTGTGTTAACAGATAATTTCAGTATTATTAACATGATAATTTTGGTTTGCAACACTTGATAATGTTTTTCTTATAAGGCATTAGTAACATAAAAGTAGACAAAGAAATTATTGAGAAACAGTTTTTTATTTCTTGGAGATACAGCTGTTTTTAATGACTAAAGATCATGTTACATCAATACAGTGATATAGTTTGATTAATATTTTGATAATAGTATGAGCTTGATAAACATAAATCATTTTATTAAATGTTTGTCACACTTTTGTTATGTTTTGTTGAAGATATGAATATAATGTGAAATACAGTTATGGAAATGATTATGGAGACACACATACAAGAGTTGTGATAATTTGTTAATGATACAAGGTATTGCAGGAAATATAAATGAAAGGCAAGTAAGTTGTACAATTCACTATATTTTGTAGGGGAGACCTAGCTTTGCTTTGCACAAAGCATTATGACTTGTTTTCATGCTCCTATACAGTTTATCAATAAACAACTGTGGAATGTCATTCAAAATGTACTGTTTTCTCCCAACAGTTCAGCCAACTTGTAACTCAAGGTAACTCAACAAGTTGGCTGAACTGTTGGGAGAAAACAGTACATTTTGAATGCATATATATATATGGTTTCATGATTGATCATATGAGGAATATGTGCAGGCAAAACCATGGTTATGGATGTTCCATTGGACTCTTTACCATGAGGATATAGTAACAAGATATTTACTGTATGCGTGGGATAATTTTCTTGCTGGTACACGAATTCCTTCCCAATCAGTTGTATTTATGAGGGAATGATATACTTGATCATAGTCTGAATTACTTTTCAGAAGTCAGTACACCATTAATTATGGGTAGATCACTGATATCGTTGGCTGAGTTGCAGCTACAAACTTGTACTGATCCACTATTATTTATTATAAATTCTTCTCTCTGCCATTCAGCAAACTGTCATTGATTGTTGCCAAACAATTTGTACTTGGATTAATCTCTAAAAAGTACATGTCTCCAGCTTTATTCATTTAACTGTTTATGGTTTGGTCACATACAAGGTCCACCAAAAGGAGTGTAGGGATTTTATGTAGTTAGATTTTCCAAAGTATTAATGAAAAACTGTCTATTTTCTTCCAAATGAAGATTAAGGGTTCAAATTTTAATGATGAACAGGTGGAGAATCCAACAGCATTCAATTATTGTTGAGCTTGATTTCAAAAATGAATGCTGTATCATTGCTGCTCCAAAGAGCATACTGTCAAGATCGTGATGTTAATGTTGCTCCTTCTGAACACTTCATAAAACTGAATTGTGATTTCAACAAGATGGATCCACCCATCATACATACAGCAAGAGCAACAATGACCGTGTTGTGTGAACTGTTCCCAACCAGGGTAGTTTCTCATAATGGAGACATAAACTGACCTCCATGATCCCCCATATTTGTCAGCAACAGACTTCTTTTTGTAGGGTTATTTAAAGAAAAGAGTGTATATCAACAAACCACAAATACTACAGGATGTGAAAGATAACATAATGACAGAATTTAATTGCCTTACTCATGAAACTTTGACCTCTGCAATGAAATGTGTTCTCCTTAAAGCATGCTAGTGTGTAGCAGTTCGTGGTGGACATCTACTGGACATTATTGTTCATACTTAATGGTTACAAGACATCTTATTGAGCTACAGTTTCATAAATAATAAATACAAATTATACTGAAATATGTTGTTGTTAGTGATTGCAGTTTAAATTCCCTACAGTTCGTTTGGTGGACACTGTATTTTAAACAGTCGACTGAGGCCACTTTGTGCTAACATACATCTTATACTTCTTGAAGTAGCGTTCACCTGTACTTACATCAAGGTTTGTACTCAACAGTCATGTACATATATGTAGTATTGAACATACCTTGACATATTTAACATCACTTTTAGAGAGTTTCAGTTTTATACCTTGAACACTTACATTATTAATACTTAGGTTCAATTTAATGTACTCTCTTCAGAGTTTTGCCACAATTTTTCATAAAGCTATTTTTAACCATCAGAACTTTGATTTCTATATGATTATCATATGGTATTTCAATCTTAGGAGCCATGACTGGATTCGTACTAGTACAACTTGGCACAGTATAACAACCTGTACTTTTATAAGGTTTAATATTGGTGTGGCACTTTCTAATTCGATTGATGACAATCAATCATACTGTAAGTTATCAACACCATACTCTGATGCAATTCATTTTCACATAAGTGACATTTCTGTAGTATTTGCCTTTCAACCCTGTTTTTCCTTTCATTTTCCATAATTATTACCGATAGTGTATTCACACGTTATAATATTTGTGATAAATATTTAATCTTAATTTCCTGTTGGTACTGTGTGCTTACAGTATGGATGGATGTTTTGTTAGTGTACAATGTAATGCTTTTTTGATATAAATGTTGAGTTCTTGTTCTTCATACATTCATATTTTAAGCATGGCTGCAAAGTTATCTCTGCAATAATCTGACTCATTAAAAATACTTTTAATATAAAACTGTTATATGTGTTTTTGACTTTTGGGTTATTTGACTACATTTTTTTCTTTCTTGTCAAGCATTTAACTTTATAAACATGAAAGTTACTTTTAATACATCAATTTTAAGGCAACTTTTAAGTTATGGTAATCTCTGTTATAGAAGCATTACTCTCCATTTTAAATGATGAAGTATAGATTACATGATATTATCTGTACATACCATGAGTAATAGAAAAAATGTCTAATTTCAGTGTTCATAGTTGTACAACAAACATCCTTTCAGAGAGTGATGCATTATAGCCTCAGTTTTTACAGTCATTGTTTGACATCATATATTTTAAAGCAGTCTGATACATTTCAAACTGTAGTAAAGCATATTAATTTTTGCTGACAGTCTTTTGATGGCATTATTTCAGTGACCTCTATAAAATCATTCTGACAAGCTGTGGTTAAATGGTGCAGAAAATTTCTAGATGTTCTGCACTTAGTTAAACTTTAAATGCTAAACAATTTACAACCTACTTTGTACATGTGTATCCAAGGCTATAGATTTCATATGAGAGTTTATATTACTAGCCATGTGTAGTTTTGTTCCAAGCTAATACAATTTCATACTGTGCGATTACCTGATAGCTCTAAAAGATAGAAGCCACCGTATTAGATGACTCGCTCCACAGTGCAACAGTAAATACGTACTAAAAACGGAGTTGGTTAAAAAGTGTAATTGTCTGTAATCAGTAACAAGTAAAATCAAAATGTTGTTAGTATTTTAAAACTGCAAGTATATGGAAGGTAATATTTTATATGTGATGTAACAAGTGAACTATTAAAACTTTGGCCTATTTTATAAATTAATACGTTTTTTATTTTTATAAATAGCTTGTGAAAGATCAAGTTATGAAAATGTGTTTGTGTACAATCCTGTGATATGCTTTCACATACAACAGAGTAGGATGAAAAAGTAAAGTTAGTCCTAAACTGCTGTATCTGAAGATTTTTATCATATAAAGATATGTGTAGTTTGAAAATGTTTTAAAAGAATAAAAACCAGTTAGAAATGCAAATATCAGTTTTATGGTTAACTATCCTAAGTGTATAAAATGTCAAGGAAACTAGTGTGTTTGTATAAAACACCAAAAGTGTATTCTGTATAAATGTGAATTGTAGCTCTGTATCAATTAGAAAAAACAATTACCTGTGACCAGTAAAGCTTGATAAGCACTTAACAGTTTTCCTTATATCTTTATTATTTCTTTGAATTTATCGATGAAAGAAACCAAGTTGTACCATGAAAGACTAGTTTTAATAATATGTAGTGAATTAGTCTTTTTCGTTTTTAAAAATATACCAGTTTTTTTTTTTAAATCCAAATTATATTACGTCTGGAAATGACATAAATATATAATTGATGCAGCTCTTTACAGTCATTTAGTCATTTGAAATTTAGCATTAACAAATATTACAATTATATTTTCAATAGAATTATATAACTTCATAGACTAATATAAGAATATCTTATCACTATTTGAAAACAAACAAGAATATAGTTGGATGAAAAAAATAACTTAAATTTACCATGTGTAACAGGTGAGTCTGCCACATTCTTCTTGTCATCATTGAAAAGTAATTTTGGCAACAGAGATAATTGAACAGTGTAAGAGCAATTATTGTGCACAACTGGCTTAAGGACTATTTATATTGTTACGACAGCGGAGGTCACCTGACGCTAGTAACACGTCATGAACTTCTAGAAG